CTACCCCCTCCCTCCTAGATTGTAAGCTCGAAAGAGTAGGGCCCTATAACCCCTCGTGTGCTGTTTGTAGGTGCTGTAATGTTTCATGTATTGTCCACCCCTCTATTGTACAGCGCTGAGCAAACCCTTTGGCGCTATATAAACTAGATGTAATAATAATAATAATAAATACCTTCAACAGTTAGAACAGTCTTGTAACTTCAGTGTCCAGCAGAGCACATGTTAAAGCTAGTAGGAGGAGTTTTAATTCTGCTGTAGGAGGATGCAAGACCCCTGACCCTCTGTCTGGACTGTGCTGATTGGCCCTGTGCTGATCCCATGTACTCTCCCAAGAAAAAAAAATCCACTCTATCAATACACACCAAACTGCGCATGTGCAGAGTGACTCCACACAATATGTCTCATTAGGAGAAAAGAGGGGACACTGGAAGAAGGGGAGGATCAGAGAAGTCAGGATCAAACAGCGTTTTTACACACTGAAGAGGATTAACCGCTTAGGTTCTGCAGTGAGTATAACAAGCATGCTTTACTGCATAGACAGACTGATTTTACTGTTGTGGGTTTAGTAACACTTTAAGCAAAACAGACATTCTTTTTGAGAACAGTGAAGTGTACATTTTGGACTGAGAGGACAGCTGATTTGCAAAAGATGTGAAAGAGGCCATCTAAGTCAACCTGAAACAACCGTAAGTAAAACAGGGGTGAGGGCATTCAACACCATCTGTCTTCTACATATAATGCCATTTTAACATCTCTACTCTGGAGTTCTGACAATTTACACTTCCAGCCATGTAAATTAAGTAATAACATTTCTGAAGCCTTCCTGACATCAGCAATAGGATTATGTAACTAGAACAAGGTGCTGTGACAATTTTCACTCCTGCCATCTTGTCCTTTGACAATAACTTTCATCTTGCCATGGTAATTGGATTCATAATTTAGTGCTACCAGTTTGGCTACAACTGCTGGGGTGCTTTCCTGACACTCAGAGCAAAGGAAGTGGCTTGAACAAGCTGCAATACATCTACATTACAGAACAAGTCCAGCTGAATGTGACTAACTACTACAAGATGTAGCTGTAGTTTTTATGGTCAAAATAGCACTGAGACAGGATATGCTTTTGCCTTGAAATGGGTGATGGAAATCAGAATGCTAAAGGCAGAATATGTTTAAGTATTACAGAGCTTTTCATGCAAGTCTACTTCATGTATTGTACAGGCAAGTGGGGACTGCCAGAAGGCCCCTGGAAAAAAAAATACAATGACCCTAAAGTCTCACGTACAGTATGTCATGAACAAAAAGTATCTTTTAATTTAAAGGATAAGTTCACCTTTTTTATTTTAACAAAAACAATAGATGCACATTTTTTCGCAGGTAAAAAATTTGCGACATTGATCTTACACAATGGAAGAAAATTTGGGACAACACATCTAAATCTTCTGTCTGTGTGGTTTATAAAGAAAATACATACAAAATTTTGATGCTGTGGTACAAAACTCCCGAGGTTATTCATGTCTTTAACCCAAATGCTTCTTTCGCTTGCTGGCGTTGTGGGAAAGACTTTGGCTCCCTCTTCCATATCTTTTGGACCTGTGAATCCATGGTCCCTTTTTGGGAAGAGGTTTTGTCTTTTTTACAATTGTTATTGCATACCTTTCTCCCTTTTGAGCCTATATATTTTTTACTGAGCCTGCCATTCCCAGGTCTTCCCAGAATGGCCAGGAAACTCACCACACATGTTCTGACTGCGGCCAGAAGAAGCATTGCTATGTGTTGGCTATCCGCTACACCTCCTTCGATGTCAACTCTGTTTAAAATTATTGCTGATGTGAGACAGATGGAGTACCTAACTGTTATACATGCCTGCTCGACCACTGTGTTCGAGGCAGTTTGGCACCCATGGGACAATTTCTCCTCCTCCCACCTTTCTACAAATGTACAGTTCTGATGGCCTTCCCACTGTAGCTATATGACGTTTGTAACCATGCAGACCTCACCATCGATGTGCTCTTTCTCCTGCATTATTCTTTGTGTGTGTGTATATATATAAAATATATATATATATATATATATGTATATGTTTATGTGAAAATCAATAAAAATTGTTAATACAAAAAGAAAAATTAGCATTTTATATTTTTGGTTGCAGGACCCTGTAAAGCATTGCATCAGCAATCAGCAGATCGCTGGTGCCCTGCAGGTCTCCTGCAGATCTGTCAGTATATCTTGCCCGTATGGGATGTACGAGAAAGCAGAGATACTGACAGGAAGAATCAATGAACTAGCACGGCGCTTCACAGCACTGTTTTAGTTCATTGAGAACTATAAGCCGACAGCTGCTAAGGCTCTCGGGACTTGTAGTTTCTCATTCACAAAGGACTGCAGTAATTCAGGGCGGTCTAGGTAAAAGTAAATTTGTAATTAAAAAAATTTTGAAAACAAAGATTAAGTTGATTAGTGTGTGGTTTTTCCTGGGTTGGGAATCATTCATGCCATTCTGATATTCTACACCTAACAGAGATTCAGGGCCAAAGATGCATTCATTTGTAGGCCTTGAGTTGCCACAGGGTCAAAGGTGGGTACTGGCTACTCTTTACAGCCTCTGGGCCAAGTCACTGTTTATATTTTACACAATATCAGATGCACACTTCTTACAATGGGTGATGGTGCATAAGTATCGGCTTGCTACATGGACTCTTTTGGCAGCTTCCTCCCAGAATCTCTTCCTTACAGCTGAAGAGGTCTGAGAGTATAAGGCCCCACAGATTCTTGCCTTGTGCTGACCAAAAGCTTCAATGAAAGCCATGTTCTGCACAGAAGAGAAACAAGGATTCCAGGGACCAGGACCTCTGGGCCCCCTCGATGGTTCCTTCCCTGTGCTCAAAGTAGGTTCAGCTGAGGGCACAGAGTTGGTGATATATTCTCATGTCCCCCAGAATCCACTGCTTGCATGGAATAACACTCCAGTGGACTTATTGCTGAAACATTCCTAAAGGGTTATTTCCCCCTGAGTAGAAAGTGTACTTGGAACCCTGTTTTTGCTACCTTTATGTCACCTGTCATTCCAGACATTGTTCAGAAGAACAGCGTACCTTGATTAAAAAGTTGATTGGAGAGGGGAAAACATATAAAGAAGTGCAGAAAATGATAGGCTGCTCAGCTAAAATGATCGCAACTGCTTTAAAATGGCAACCAAAACCTGAAAGACGTGGAAGAAAGCGAAAAACTACCATTCTAATGGATAGAAGAATAGCCAAAATGGCAAGGACTCGGCCAACAATCAGCTCCAGAAAGACCAAAGAAGGTCTAAAGTTACCTGTGAGTACTGTTACAATTAGAAGACGCCTATGTGAAGCCAAGCTATCTGCAAGAAGTCCCCGCAAAGTCCCACTGTTGAAAAAAAGACATGTGCTGAAGAGGTTACAATTTGCCAAAGAGCACATTGACTGGCCTAAAGAGAAATGGCGCAACATTTTGTGGACTGATGAAAGTAAGATTGTTCTTTTTGGGTCTAGTGGCCAGAGACAGTTTGTCAGATGACCCCCAAACACTGAATTCAAGCCACAGTACACTGTGAAGACAGTGAAGCATGGTTGCGCAAGCCTCATGATATGGGGATGTTTCTCATACTACGGTGTTGGGCCTATTTATCGCATTCCAGGGAACATGGATCAGTTTGGATACATCAGAATACTTGAAGAGGTCATGCTACAGCAGTACAACTGATGTACAGCAGTTCTCAGAAACAGTGCTTATACAACTAAATATTAATTAAGTGATTCAAAGGAAAGCAAAATCTTCAAACATTTTTCAGTACTTTTTAGATTCATACTTTTTTCCTATAAGGTTGATGTAATAAAAATACACTATAAGAGAACCTCTTTTAAATGTTAGGTGGGTGAATTCATACTTCTTTGGGGGTAGGACATATTAGAGTGCATGGATATTTTTGACCTCCACCTTGGTTTTCCCATATCCTGATTTACATGTCTATACAATTAACCCTGTAAATGATTTTGATAGGCAGATATTAAAACCAATTCCATGCTATAGAGTTACCCCTAAAATTAAAACTAAATACTATGCAAATTAATATTGACCTTAGATATACTCACCTAGAATTTATTAGGAACACCCATACACTTTATGTAGTTATCTAATCGGCCAGTTGCATTGCAGCAGGACACTGCATAGGATCATGCAGATACAGGTCACATAATAGAGAAAAAATGGGGGTATGTAGGGAAGAAATGTGATCTCATTGGTTTTGATTGTGGAATGATTACTGATGCCAGTCAGGTTGGCTTGAGTATTTCTGTAACTGCTGACAGAAAAAATGCTGTAGCTTAGGTGACCACTCCTCACAACTCCTGTGAACATTAAAACACCTTAGAATTCACAAAACAACAATCCTAGAGGCGGATAGGCTACAGTATTGAAGATGACATTGGGTTTCACTCCTGTCAGCCAAGAACACAAGGCTACAGTGGGTATGGGTCCACCACAAAAAGACAGTTGAAGACTGGTCTGATGAATCTTGATTTCACACAGCTGATAGGTCAGTCACTGGATAAGAATCTAATAGAACACATTTGGAAGACTTGCAGCATCAATGTTTGGCTGTTTATACACATATTCCCTAAACACTTCTACAAGTAAGCTGGCAGTTGAGAGAAAAAAAATGTAAACAAAATATTGGCAGAAGTGAAAAGGTTAACCACTTGCCTACTGGACACTTATACCCCCTTCGTGCCCAGGCTAATTTTCAGCTTTCAGCGCTGTCGCACTTTAAATGACAATTGCGCGGTCATGCAACACTGCACCCGTATGAAATTTTTATCATTTTTTTCACACAAATAGAGCTTTCTTTTGTTGGTATTTAATTGTGGCTGGGTGGTTTTTTTTTTTGCGCTATAAACAAAAAAAGAACAAAACATTTGAAAAAAAGTTTTTCTTTGTTTCTATTATAAAATTTTGCAAACAGGTAATTTTTCTCCTTCATTGATGTGCGTTGATGAGGCTGCACTGATGGGCACTGATAGGCAGCACTGATGGGCACTGATGAGGTGGCATGGATAGGCAGCATTGATGTACACTGGTGAGGTGGAACGGATAGGCATCACTGATGGGCACTGATAGGCGACATTGATAAGCAGCACTGATGAGCTGGCACTGATGATGCTGCACTGATAGGCAGCACTGATTGGTGGCACTGACTAACGGTACTGCTGGGCACTGACTGGCAGCACTGCTGGGCACTGATGCGTGGCACTGCTGGGCAGCACTGATGGGTGGCACTGCTGGGTACAGGTGGGTGGCACTGCTAGGCACTGCTGGGCACAGGTGGGTGGCACTGCTGAACATAGGTGGGTGGCACTGATGGGCTGACAATTGCCGGTTCTCGGCAGTACTTTCCTCACACTATGACAGCATGAGGAAAGTGCAGCCGATAACCGGCAACTGCATTTACCCGCTGATCTGCTGTGTCATTGGACACAGCTGATCAAGTGGAAAAAGACTGCTGTGATTGGCCTCTTACCGTATCACGTGATCAGTTGTGTCCATAGGACACAGCGATCACCAGCGGCACCAGGTGCGCGGCGATGATGGAGAGCAGGGGGCGTGTTCTGGTATTACAATCATGGACGTCCTCCCAGAACTAGACAACCGCGCTGTAGCCATCCTTCGGCTATAACACGGTTGGGAAGTAATTAAACTTCCAATCAGCTGCAAGTTATTAAACTGTTAACCCTTTGAGGACCAAGGGACGTATTTGTCCCATGTTTGTAATTGCGTGTATCATCTGATTAAGAACTTAAAACTCTTTCTTTTTTTTTTGGTTTGAGTCAAAATATTAGTTCTTATCAACAAACAACAAATGGATCTAGCTTTTTTCCAATTATTTCATGAAATGGCTTAGTTACAGCAACTGAAGTGTACGAACTTTAAAAACAAAAAAAATTTATTCTTTTGGCGTTCCAAAACCTTACGGTCCTCAAAGGGTTAAGGATCTGGAAAATACCTTATACAATCTAAAGCTGGCCATACATTATACAATTTTCTTGAGAATTTTGCTTTAGATTGAGCAAAAACCATATAATACAAGGTCAAACCTAAACAACACTTTCAATTGTATTGAAGGTGAATCTAAAGGAAATTGGGCAAAAACTGGACAGAAAATTGTAAGAAAATTGTATAGTATATGGCCAGCCTTAAGTCCTTTCCTGCCGAATTCACACTTACATACCCTTTAAGTTGCAAGGTTCTGCTGTTACCTGAGGAAGCCACGTGGTTGGTGGCGTAACATGTGGGGCGGAGCTTAGTGACATCAGTTCCGGTTACAGACTCGCTGTCACGTACCTGGTGTGAGAGGCCAATGGAGACAGGGCTTTCCTTGCGGCTAAGTTCCAGAATCCCCTGAGAGTGGGACAGCGGGAGTCAGGCCCAAAGTAGCACAGGTCGCCTGTAGGAGTGCCTGTTGGTGGTCCACCCAGGAGCACAGCTGATGCACTGAGATGAGGTCTGCAGACAGGTGGCGCCTGTGCGAGGTATGCAAGCCCTTCCGGAAATAAAGGATTACTGAATAGTCGGATCAAGCCAAGGTGAGGTACCAGGTGGGAATCAGAGCAGACGTAGTCAGATGGGATAGCCGAGGTCATACACAGAGGAGCAAAGAGGAAATATCCAGGATGAAACCCAGCGTCTGGTGATGTCAATGCGTTCCAGACTTCAGGCTTTAATTGACTGCAAAGGATTTGCAACCAAGTATTAAAACGTGAAAGTTTAATTTATGATTATTATTCTGTCCCAATACTTTTGGTCCCTTAACAAGTGGGAGGCACATATGCAAACTGTTGTAATTCCTACACCGTTCACCTGATTTGGATGTAAATACCCTCAAATTAAAGCTGACAGTCTGCAGTTAAAGCACATCTTGTTCGTTCCATTTCAAATCCATTGTGGTAGTGTATAGAGCCAAAAATGTTAGAATTGTGTCGATGTCCCAATATTTATGGACCTGACTGTATGTGTGGACAGGCTGGGTTCTCCCCATCAGTACCAATAGGTGTCCTTCCTATCCTAGACTCCTCATGTGTCCCGACTGTTACCTGTGTACCTGCATTACCTGCACCTCCATGAACATACATATCATTACACTTGTGTTCCTGTAAGCTCAGTTTCCTACTTTTGCAAGATATTCCTGTACTCCTGTCTCCCTGTGAGCCCTGCACCCCAGTGCTCAAAGTGTATTTTACCAGTTTTCCCCATGCCCTGTCTGCCTGAAAGGCCAGCACCCTGTCTTGCACTATACTCTTGCCATGTCTGTGATTCCAGTATTCTGTGCTTTCCCAAATACTTATCTCTTGTGCTATCCTGTACCAGGTTAGCTCGTGCCTGCATGAGAGTTCTGTCAAAGCACACTGCATTCAGCGTCTACTGAGGGTACGCAACTCCCAATCATTTGTGATAGCCCCATTTATGCTTGTGTGTCCTTGAGTCAATGCAAGAAATGGAGCTTTATGGTCTTATCCTTCCAAATCTTATCCTGACAACTGTCCACTGGGACAATTAAGCTTGTCTTCCCTCCCAACTCACTCCTGGAGCAACGGCAAACAGTTTAGATGGGTTTTGTTCATCAGAAGTTTGAGACCACTTTGGATAGGACTGATGGTGTCAGGAGCAATGAGCAACCTCCATCTTACCACTCCTGGCAGCCTGATCCCCTTAAAAACTGCACCATGGACTTAGCATAAGTCACCAAACCAAGGCTAGCCCCAGACATTGCCGCCGGTGCGGCCATGGGGAAGTAAAGCTATGATTCAGCACACTAATGTACCAAACCAGGCACCTTGCCTAGGGATATGAGCATGTTATTGGACTACCCTTAATAATTTGGTTCGGCACACTTACCTTGTAAATAGCCATTGAGACAAGGAACTGGCAGTGATCCTGATCACTGCAATGACTATAAATATTGTAGTAGGGTATATCAGGGAGTGTGGAACGGTCTTGTTCGACATTTATACATCTCCCAGGATCCAGTTTTACACCATTTTGGACCTCTGATAATTTGTCCACTCTGGGTTTTGTACCTCCCTCTGGTATACCATTTAGGATCACCTGAAGCTCAGAGTCTCTACTCTCTGGGGAACAGACAGGCTGTGTCTGCAAAAACTAAAAAGTTAGTGAAAGCTATAAAATGCTGTATGTGGAGGCTGACAAGCATTATGATTGAACAGCCTGATAGTTAGGACTTAGATTGTATAGTTAGTGCTGGGACACAGCTAGGGTTTTTTTTTAAGTTTTGAACTGTTTATTTTTGGAGTACTGTACAGCACCTGTATATAGCCTTGTAAATAGCACAACTACACTACTGATTGTCACTACATCACTGTTACTGGTATCTGCACCTGAAAGAGCTGCTCACCACAGGAAGAGTTATCCCTGCTACCTATCCCCAGCTCACAATATCTACACTCTGGACAAGAGACAATGTCATGGTCTAGCCTGCAGATTTCTGTTTGTGCATTTTTACCTCCTTGCTGCAGTGGTTCTGCTAGATCTGTTCTCCTTCACATGTGCTGCTGGCTTCTTTGTTCACCTCTGGGTGTTGCCTGTTCCACTATGGATGTATATCCTTTACCTTTTTATCACTTCCTGTGTCACCTCCATGTTTGGTTCTTTATATATACACATGTGCTCAGTGCAGATCTCCTTGCCTGAACAACTTCGTAGTTCTCTGAGCTCCCATTTGTTACTTTATATTTATCCTGTGTCTGACCACCCATGTATCGACTCTGGCTTTGTCTACCGTCTGTGCTTGCCTGAGGCCTGTCCTGACCTTGGCTTGTCTCCTGGATTTCCGTTTGTCTCCTGCTGCTTTACTCTGCACATGCTAGTGGTCTCCGCATCCTCAGGCGTACCTGGGGACCACAACCTGGTTCCAGATTGTTGCAAGTCCATCCCCACCGTCAGGGACCTGGTGAAGAAACAGGCTGGGGCTTAGACCCCACGCCCTGGGGAACCCCAAGTTGGTGATCTACAAGGCTTACTACCACAGACACTTGACAGGCACAAGCCTGAATCCTGGTGCTTTGATAAGGTCACAGAGGGCCCCTCTCACCTATTTTAAGCACTACATATGCTGCACTTCTGCCATTCCCTGTCAGCCACTCAGTCTGCACTAATTGTACCAAGATCCTAGCACTATAAGCACCTTAATCTAACTGTTGCTTCAGCTGGACTTAGAAGAAGAAACACCCACACAAACAGTGGTCAACAGCTGGTACTAATGAATAATATTGGCTAAGCTCTGAACTCTGCTTACTGTCCTAGGAGCTGTTCTATAGAGACAATTTCTCAACAACTTATAGTAACAAACAAAAACTATTTGCAACCTAAACCAGTCTCCATCTGTCCAGATACATGATCGCCACACAAAACACCCAGCATCCTAAACTTACTCAATTAACTAACAAAAATAAGAAACCCTACAATCAGTGTGTCATTTTCCACACCTATTTCTCTTTAATACAGGCAGATTCCACTATTTATATTTAAAGGGCATAGAGGATGTCTCATAGAAACTACAAACAACCTAAAGAGGATTAAAAATTTTGCCAGACCTAAACCCTCAAAGCCATCCCTTAACCACTTCAATACCGAGCACTTTTACCCCCTCACTGCCCAGGACAATTTTCACATTTCAGCACTCTCGCACTTTGAATGACAATTGCGCGGTCATGCAATACTGTACCCAAACTAAATTTTTATCATTTTGTTCACACAACTAGAGCTTTCTTTTGGTGGTATTTAATCACCGCTGGGTTTTTTTATTTCTTGCTAAATTAACAAAAAAAGACCACAAATTCTGAAAAAAACAAGTTTTTCTTTGTTTCTGTTGTAAACTTTTGCAAATAAATAATAATAGTTTTTCATAAATTTAGGTGAATATGTATTCTGCTACATTTCTTTGGTGAAAATAACCCAAATCAGTATTCATTATTTAGTCTGTAGGAAAGATATAGACTCCACAAACTATGGTATATATCTGAAAGTTGATCAATCCTCAAGTACTGATGGCCAATCTACCGTATTTTGCGCTCCATAAGACACACCTAAGTTTTATAGGGGGAAGACAAGAAAAAAATATTCTGAACCAAGACTAAAGACATAGTACAAGAGATAACCAGAGACTGCATAGTACAGGAGATGACCAGAGACTACAGACATAGTACAGGAGATGACCAGAAACTGCAGACATAGAACAGGAGATGACCAGAGACTGCGGACATAGTACAAGAGATGACCACAGACTGCAGACATACTACAGGAGGTCACTAGAGACTGAGGACATACTACAGGAGGTCACTAGAGACAGGACATAGTACAGGAGATGACCAGAGACTGCAGACATAGTACAGGAGATGACCAGAGACTGCAGACATAGAACAGGAGATGACCAGAAACTGCGGACATAGTACAGGAGATGACCAGAGACTGCAGACATAGTACAGGAGATGACCAGAGACTGCAGACATAGTACAGGAGATGACCAGAGACTGAAGACATACTACAAGAGATGACCAGAGACTGCGGACATAGTACAGGAGATGACCAGAGACTGAAGACATACTACAGGAGATGACCAGAGACTGCGGACATAGTACAGGAGATGACCAGAGACTGCGGACATAGTACAGATGACCAGAGACTGCGGACATAGTACAGGAGATGACCAGAGACTGCGGACATAGTACAGATGACCAGAGACTACAATCATGGTACAGGAGATGACCAGAGACTACAATCATAGTACAGGAGATGACTGCAGATACACTACTGGAGATGACCAGAGACTTCAGACATATTACTGGGGATGAGCAGAGTTCTTTCAGCAATGCACAGACGTACAGTTTGTGAAAAACAGCTCAGGGTTTGGTAGTCCACAGGCAGTCTATGGGACGAAGCACATACCTGGCCAGCTGTGCTCAGCATCCTCTCCGAGGTCCAGGGCGGGGATCTCCCACTCACATCACAACTTCTACTACAGCTGCTCACTCTTGAGCATACAGGCTGCATGGGGCGGGGTCAGTGGAGCTTCTAGACCTGTCCGCGTCCCCCTCCCTCTGGGGAAGTGATCAGTAATTTTTTTTTTTTTTTACAAAGTATTCCAAAGGCTGTTAGTTTTTATTTTTGAACATGTGACCAGCAGCAGAGGACTAAACGCTCCTCCTCCTTATGTTTCCTTGCAGATCGGTTGGGAAAGATTTGGGTCATGTGGCAGCTGTATATCAATTAGGAAAAGGGTACTTAGATTTTTTTTTTTTAAATAAAATAATTAGAGTGCCATCATCCATATACAGAAAGAGAGGGATAATGTAAATTAACCACTTCCGGTCCGAATACTTTTACCCCCTTCCTGTCCAGGCCAATTTTCAGCTTTCAGTGCTATCACACTTTGAATGACAATTGCAACACTGTACCCATAATAATTTTTTAGCATTTGTTTGAGACAGATAAAACTTTATTTTGGTGGTATTTATTCACCACTGGGATTTTTTTTTTGAAAAAAAGTGTTTTTCTTATAAAAGTTTGCAAATAAATAATCTTTCTCATAAATCTTGGCCAAAATGTATTCAGTTATCTTTTTAATAAAAAAAATAACCCAAATAGTTTATAACCAAAAGTTCAAATTTTTCAAAAAATTTTTTTACACTTTAATTTTTTTTTTAACCAATAGCCGCCCGGCCATTAGCCGTTTGGCGGCCGGAAAAATGCTGTAGATTTCCGGGTGGACGCCATATGGCGTCCTTCCGGGCATGCGCAGTTTTTGGGCTTGCACAGCCGCGCAGCGGCGCGATCTGTCACCGGCCATGCACCTCAGACACAGCCGATGACAGATCTGAGTACCTGCCCCCATTGCCGGTACCATGTGACCTGCTGTGACCAATCACAGCAGGTCACATGACAGTTGTATACAATGGATGGCTTCATTCATGCCATCCATTGTATACTAGTGTCTAGCTGTGAATGGTCACAGCGATCACATGCACATGTCATGTGATTAGCTGTGGCCAAATCACAGCTAAGCACAAAAAAAAAAAAAAAAAAAAAAAACCCTGAATGAACCAATGTCATTCAGGTAAATGCTTGCTTATAACAAAGTAATTTTTTGCTATAAGCAAATTGTGTAAAAAAAAAAAAAAAATACTGATCACTTCCCCAAAGCAGTACAATGTTACTATGGTAACATTGTACTACTTTGGACATAGTGAAATATGGAAAAAAAATCTTAAAAAGAATAAAACAAATGTAATAAAAAATTAAAAATAGAAAAAAAAAAAAATAAATATATATATATATATATATATATTTTTTTTTTTTTATACCAGTCAGTGTCCCTGATCACCGCCATGCCAGTTATATGATGACGCTGTGCTGCACTGGTGACAGTATGTAAAAAAAAAATAGTGAAAATTAATTTTCCAAAAAATGACAAAAAAATACAAACTTCAAAAAACTCGCCATGCCTCTTATGAAGTACGTTGGACTGTCTACTTTGCAAAAAGGGGTCATTTGGGGGATATCTGTACTATTCTGACATTCTTGGACCTCAAGAAATTAGATTGGCCATCAGTACTTCAGGATTGATCAATATTCAGATCTATACCATAGTTTGTGAACTCTATAACTTTCCTACAAACAAAAAAATACATCCTAATTTGGGTTATTTTCACCAAAGACATGTAGTAGAATACATCTTGGCCTAAATTTATGAAGAACAATTATTTATTTGCAAACTTTTATAACAGAAACAAAGAAAAATGTTTTTTTTCAAAATGTTCGGTCTTTTTTTTTGTTAATTTAGCAAAAAATAAAAACCCCGGCGGTGATTAAATACCACCAAAAGAAAGCTCTAGTTGTGTGAAGAAAATGATAAAATTATAGTTTGGGTACAATGTTGTATGACTGCGCAATTGTCATTCAAAGTGTGACAGCTCTGAAACCTGAAAAATGGCCTGGGCAGGAAGGGGGTAAAAGTGCGTGGTATGGAAATGGTTAACATACTAGCAGTACAGTATCACCATAGTGATACTGTACTACTTGTGGGGGGGTGATGAATATTTTGGGGTTTTTTACAGATAAAGGCTGTAAAAGCAATCATTTCTCCTTCTCTCTGACTGCATTCTTACAGCCATTGAGAAATACTGTGAGAGCTGTGATTAGTCACAGCTTGTCACATGGTACAAGGCTGTTGTGACTAGCCTTGTACCACGTGATCTCTCTGATCATTCACAGATTTCACTAGTAGTAAGCAATGATGTCAGGAAGTGACATCTTGTTTACTACTGTTCATGTGATCACTGATTGGTCATTCAGTCATCACATGATCGTGACCTTACACAGAGGTCCCGCACAGCGATCCGTGTTCCACTGTGTCCTCCGGACAAAGCGGACTCCAGATCGCGGTGCCGTGCGCTCCTAGGGAGCGTGCGCAGGCTGTAAATGTGGGCGCCGTTTTTGAATGGCAATGTGCACCTGCACTGCTCCGGGGGGAAGTGGGAGCAGGAAGTGGTTAAACAGTGTGTGTTTAGTATCACTTTAACCAAGAGACAAACTATGGCTTAACTACTTCCCGCTCGGCCGGGCGAGCCTCTTGTCCCTCCAGGAGGGCGTCATATGACGTCCTTTCCAGATCACGCCTTGCGTGTGCCCACAGGGTCACGCTGTGGCGAGATCTGTCACCGGCTGTGTACCTCGGACACAGCCAATGACAGATCTGTGTACCAGCCTTGTTGCCAGTACCATGTGACCTGCTGTGACCAATCACAGCAGGCCACATGACAGTTGCATACAATGGATGGCTTCCTTTCATGCCATCCATTGTATACAAATGTGAATGGTCACAGTGATCAGATGCACAGGCTGGGCCAATCACAGCCCATCTGTGTCGTGATAAGCTGTGGCCAATCACACCTAATCACAAAAAAAAACCTGAATAAATCGATTTCATTCAGTTAAATGCTTGCTTATAGCAAATAAATTCTTTGCTATATGCAATCAAATTGTGTAAAAAAATACTGATCACTTCACTAAAGTAGTACAATGGTACTATGGTAACATTATACTACTTTGGGCATAGTGTATACTACTTTCATACTACTATCCTTCGTTCCCAAATCTCACTTCTTTACCCCTCTGCTCCACCCCAAAACTTGTACATCTCACCCTCACTGCTACCATCTCCCTACTACTGCTCTAATCACCTCCTGTTGATACTTCACTCTCCTGCTGACCCAAACACCAGGACTGGAAGGCATGTGCGCTCGTGTACATCCCGCTCCCATCTTACTTTCCTCATCCTTCTTCTTCTCCTCCTAACCTCTGGGGATATCTCCCCAAACCCTGTTCCTCCAGTATCTCACTCGCCACACCAGGCATCCTCTTTCTTCCGGGAATAGCCGCAATCCCCTCAATTTAATATCAGTCCCGTGCTCCCAAAAACCACACTCCCTTTTTCATGTGAGCTCTAGAATGCCCGCTCTGTCTGTAATAAGCTCACCTCTGCCCATGACCTTTTTGTCTCCCGCTCCCTTAATCTACTAGCAATTACAGAAACCTGGCTTCAAGCAGCAGATTCTTCTTCCCCCGCAGCACTTTCCTATGGAGGCCTTCTCTGGACCCACTCACCCAGACCCAGTGGTCGGAAAGGTGGTGGAGTTGGTTTGCTTCTATCCCCACTGAGCACCTTTCAAGTCCTCCCTAACCCTCCCTCTCTATCCTTCTCTTCTTTCAAGACTCACTGCATCCGGCTGTTTTCTCCCATTTCTCTGAGGATTGCAGTAATCTATCGGCCTCCTGGACCGGTGTCCCGCTTTCTTGATGATTAATCCACCTGGCTACCCTACTTTCTCTCCTCTGAACTACCCAATATCATTCTCGGAGATTTTAACATCCCTATTAATGTCAACAACCCGGCTACATCACAGCTCTTCAACTTAACCTCATCTTTTGCATTAGCACAATGTATACAGTCCTCCACTCACTTTGATGGGAATACATTAGACCTTGTTTTCTCCCATCTTTGCACTCCCTACAACCTAACAAACACCCCCTTTCCTCTCTCTGATCACAATCTCATCACCTTCAAAGTGTCCTCGTCTTCAAACACCTATCCCTCCAAGCAGCAAACAATTACCCGCAGAAACCTTCACAACTTGAACCTGCTCCTTTCCTCTCTGCAACTGACCAACTCTACGACAGAATCTCTCCCCTGTCCTGCCCTGACCTAGCCACTGCTGTCTAAAACAGTTCGCTTTCATCCACATTAGACTCACTTGCTCCTCTAATAACACGAAACATCAGGTCACGACCGTTACAACCTTGGCAGACTGACGACACCAGAAATCTTAAACGACATAGTTGTGCGCTGGAGCAATTGTGGCATAAAACCAAATCTCAACAAGCATTCACCCTATATAAATCTGCTTTCTTAACATACACTTCCTCCATTCATGCTGCCAAACAAGCCTACTTTATCTCTCTTATTAATACCTTGTCATCCAGTTCTTGTTGTCTCTTCTCTACTTTTAACTCTCTACTTTCTCCACCTCCACCCAGTACCTCACTCACTGCTCACGAGATTGCAAATCATTTCAAAAACAAGATTGACGCAATTCGTAGGGGCATCGCAACTGCACAGACATCCATCCCCACTTAGCATACCTTCTACTAAACCTCCCTCAACAACACTTTCCTCTTTTGACCTTGCTACTACCAAAGAGGTCACTAAGGTTTTCTCAGAAGCCACCTGCCCCCTGGATCCTGTCCCCTCACAACTACTACTGTCACCCTCTTCTTCCATCCTATGCTCCCTCACTCACATCTTCAATCTTTCCCTCTATACTGGTGCCTTCCCCTCCCCTCTAAAGCATGCACACATCACTCCCATACTTAAAAAGCCCTCCCTGGACCCCACCAACCTGAACAACTTAACACCCATCTCCCTGCTGCTATTTACCTCTAAACTCCTAGAATGCTTAGTCTTCAATCGCCTGAGCTCCTACCTCACTGACAACAACC